GTGAGAGGAGCTGAAACCACGGACCCCTATAAGCCTCGGCCACAGCCTTTGGAGAGGTTGGGGTCTGCTCTGTCCAAACCATGTGTATGAGAATGGAAGAGGGTTGACTGTCCCAACAGTTACTCTTTTGTGAAGTGGGAAAGAATACAAGGAAGCCAAATATTCTCCCAGCACTGTCCAGATGACTATATCATTTCGGATATCTTTATACCAAGCTAATATATGTATTTAATTTGATTCCAATAAAAATATCATTTTTCTTCCAGTGTTACACAAGTTCTAGACAATTTCTAAAATATATGTGGAAAAGAAACATGCTAGAATAGCTCTGAAAATTTTGACAAAATAAAAAAAGACAGTAAGGGAGAGGGTAAGCCTTATCAGATATTAAAAACATTATATAAAACTTCCTTCCTGGTTCATGAGTAGACAGAGGCCCTTTAAACAGAATAGAAAACCTAGAAACTTTCCCAAGTACATAAAGATATGTAATTTATCATAAGGTGGCATTTCAAATCATTGGGAAAAAGATAGACTTTCTAATAAATGATATTGGAACAACTAGAAAATATTTTTTCTTTGTTTTATTTTCCAATCAGAGTTGACAAAGTCGCTTTTAAAAGATATTAAGTTGGAGTCATATTTCATATAAACCACCAGAATGAAATGCAAATAGGTAAGACACTTACATATCCTATATAATAAAGAGCTAATATGCTAATTAGACCGAACAGCAGAACAACCATCCGGAGGACATTCTGGATGAAGCTGGGGCTGCGAGGGCCAAGCCACTTGCGTGAATTTCATGCTTCGGGCCTCTAGTACAAAAAAAAACCATACATGCACTATGAATAAACATGGATGAATTTCTATATAAACTTAGAAGGGGGTAAAGCCTTTCTAGCAATGACTCTAAATACAAAAACTTTAAAAGAAGTGATTGATAAATACATTTTGATATATAAAATATAAGTTTTACAAGTCTCCACTTTCCTGACCACGGGAGCCTCCCTAATTTGAATTGGATTGTGCACAGGCAGGAGCTTTTGGTAATGAGAGGGACCATGTCCAATTGAATGGTGTTCAGAGGCAGATTCTAACTGCCATTAGCAGATACATTGTAGGATTGTCCTGCCATTTGATTCTGTACAATTGTTAATGGGTGAAAATGGGGTGCCCAATGGTGGAAGTGGGGGATGCCTTTCCCAATTGGGTGCTGGGGGTAGGGTTCTTATGATAGCTTTAGAAAAGGAATTTTCTAAGACTTCTACAGGAGAATGAGTGAATTTTATTTGCATGGAGTTATGTCCCTCAGGTGCAAAAGTCCCATGTCCTTTAAACTGGACCTGGAAAAGGTGCAGCTGGGGATTCAGTAGAGCTAGAAGCAAAGCCACTGCCCAGAGTTTCCATTCCATGGTGGAGTAAGTCCTGCAGAGCTTCAGGCTGGTTGTAATCCATTAGTTCACTGAGTGTGGGCCATGTGGGCCATGCAGGGGAGCAGGCCCTCTGCCACAAGAGAGCCAGGAGCGAAAGCTATGGAATTTGGTTTTGCAATTTAATAAACTGCTCATCAATGAATTGCTATATCAAATAATATTGTGGTACGTTTCCTAAAGTGAATCCAGTGGATTGTTTTTTGTTTTTCCCAAACCATCACATGTCATCAAAAACACACTGTTATGCCCTAGCTGGTTTGGCTCAGTGGATAGAGTGTCAGCCTATGGACTGAAGGGTCCCAGGTTCGATTCCAGTCAAGCACACATGCCCGGGTTGCGGGCTCAGTCCCAGGTGAGGGGCATTCAGGAGATAGCCAATCAATAATTCTTTTTCATCATTGATGTTTCTATCACTCTCTCTCCCTCTCCCTTCCTCTCTGAAATCAATAAAAAATATATTTTAAGCCCTAACCAGTTTGGCTCAGTGGATAGAGCGTGGGCCTGCGGACTGAAGGGTCCCAGGTTCGATTCCTGCCAAGGACAGGTACCTTGGTTGCAGGCACATCCCCAGTAGGGGGTGTGTAGGAGGCAGCAGATCGATGTTTCTCTCTCATCGATGTTTCTAGCTCTCTATCTCTCCCCCTTCCTCTCTGTCAAAAATCAATAAAATACATTAAAAATTTATATATATACATATATATATATATATACACACACATATATATATTTTTTTTAAAAGCACTGTTATCAGAGAATAGTACAGATGGAATTTCTCTATTGCTAGTGGGAGTGGGGTCCTTGGGCACCACTGGAATACGCATTTCCGGAGGCCCCCATAGGAGAATGAGATGTGGTAAAAAGCTTTATTTGCGTGGAGTTATACCCATCAGTTTCCAAAGTCCCATTTCCCTTAAAGCAGCCCTGGAAAATGTGCTGCTGGGGTATCAGCAGAGCTAGGAGCAAAACCAGTGTCCAAAATTTCAGTTCCATGTTGTAGTTGAATACACACAGCATCAGACTAATTCTAGTCTATTAGTCCATTGTGGGGTCCACATGGCCGTAGACCACGTGGGTCAGTACAGAGTGTGAGAGCCCCACAAGCTATGAGACAGCTGCCAGCAGCAAAGGCAAGAGAAGGGGCAAGGGCTCCTTTGTTCAGAAATTTATGTATCTCAGATTTTGGATCCTCGCAGTGGCCAAGCCTATTCTGGGCAATGGCCCGCTCCCAGGTGTGACTCGAAGGTAATCACCCTCTCTACTTCATTTAGATTTTACTGGCCATGCTTCTATTCTTTCTTTGTCCAGTCCCTTCCCCCAGGATCTGTGGGGAACAGACCTGGAGAGTGTGACACTGCAGTTTCTGGCACAAATGTCATGCCTATATTATCAGGCCTTCCCATTGCTTCGTTCCTGTCAATTAATTAACAACTGGGATAATTATAACAGTATCACAGTGACATTCATGCCTGCTACTTTTACTGTATTTTAAATTGTATTTTACAATTACAGTCCACTTTCAATATTATTTTGTATTACTGTCAGGTGTACAGCATAGTGATTAGATAAATTATATACTGTACAAAGTGTTGCCCCCAATATTTCCAGTACCCACCTGGCACCATGCATAGTTATGACAATATTATTGACTGTATTCCCTTTGCTGTACTTTGCATCCTAGTCACTATTTTCTAACTACCAGTTTGTACTTATTAATCTTTTCACTTTTTTTTTGCCTGGTCCCCCTAGCCCCTTCCCCTCTGGCAACCATCAGTCTGTGCTTTTTATTTATGAGTCTGTTTCAATTTTGTTTGCTCATTAACTTGTTCTTTAGATTCTACATATAAGTGAAATCATATGGTATTGGTCTTTTTCAGTTTGACTTATTTCTCTGAGCATAATACCCTCTAGGTCCATCCATGCTGTCACCAATTATATCTGCTACTTTTATGGCTCATGGAAATGAGGCTGCTGCCCTGCCTGCTCCCCACCTGCTGCCCTCTCCCCGAGGTGAAGAGGATGAGCCAGTGAACAGTTTGGGGGCTGCACGTCTAGAAACAAAAGAAATAAAGTCTTTTCCAAAGCCCATATGCTGCTGTTCTAGAGTCTCAAGTGATACAATTAAAGCAGAGTGTAATGAGCAATAAAAATAAAACACAAATACTCCTGTGGGATCTGGGCTCTGTGGGTTCATGTGAAGGAGGGAGAGGAAATTCCATTCAGATAAAAGTCAACACTGTCAGTTTCACTTGTGTTCAGGTGTCAGAACCTGTATTATTTTCACTGTACATTCCCAATACCTGGCACTTAGTAGGTGTACAATAAGCATTTGTTCATTGATTGATAGAAAAACTGCTTTCCAGTCCTACTGCAGAGAGCAGCCCTTTCTAACTCAAAAGGCAGATAGAGCCCATGATGGCTAGCACGCAACCTGAGCCTTGAGGCCAGCAGTGAGGAACAGGCCGCAGGGGACTAAGGCTCCTGAGTGACCAGGAGTCAGTGGACTCTGAGCACATGGTGGGGACACTGGGCTGGATGTGAGGGCGGAGCTGGCTCTGCCCAGTGAGAGATGGGGCCAGGTGTTCTGCAGACATCCTGCCGCCCTGTCATCCAGGGCCCTGCATGGGGTCAACACAGTCCTGGTCCCCTGATAACCCTGTGCCAGAGCATAAGCTGGGTGGCAACTCAGTGACCAGGCCCTGCTGGAACCTGGGCACTCTGGGTGTCCTCGGTGGGAGGGATATGCAGAAGTGGGAGCTCAGACCAGTGTGGTCTGTGGGGCGCAGGGTTGGTGGACTCTGAGGATGCTCAGTGGTCAGCAGGGATGAGAAAGAGGGGCAGCCAGGAGTCTGGAGGCCAAGCTAGGCCCTGAGCTCAGAAAAGGGCAGGGAGAGAAATTCAGCCCAGAAGGGAATGAGGAGCTTCTCAGGACTTCCCTCCCTCCTCCACCCCTGTCTCTCCTCACCAGCCCCCAGACCCCAACCCTGCCACCCCCTGGTTGCTGGAGAACAATGTCCTGCTCAGGAAGGCCTTCCTCTCCCCTGTGGGGTGGGGCCTCCTGAGCTGCAGCCCAGGCTGTGCCTGCTTGGTGCCCAGCACCCACGTGCTAGTCCTTTCCTCTCAGCATGTAACACAGAGTAAGAAGTAAGACCTTCACACTGAGCCCAGGACCTGAGAGTTTCATATTTTTTCCTAATGGTGCTCCTCTCTGCCCTGGCAGATGGGCGGGCAGGTGTGGTCAAGAAGGAGCTGATAACAGCTTAGTATGGGTTTGAGGAGGTGATGGGGGAAGGGGAAGCGGGGGAAGCAGGACACAGCAGAATTGTGCCATTGCCTTCTGAGCACACGAGGGACAAAGAATAAACAAAAACCTAGCTCTTCCCGTCAGCTAAGAGTCATTTATTTGGTTGCTGGCACCCCCTCCCTCCCCGCAGTGTGATCCTGGATTAGCTCCAGAGAAGATGGTCTGGGTCCTGCAGTTGGAGGCTTTTCATGGTTTCCTTTATCCAGGGAAGGAAACTGGTGACTTTGGTGAAGAGCTCTTCCCATCAGCTAAGAGACATTTATTCAGTTGCTGGCACCACCTCCCTCCCCGCAGTGTGGTCCTGTATAGCTCCAGAGAAGATGGTCTGGGTCCTGCAGTTGGAGGCTTTTCATGGTCTCTCTTATCCAGGGAAGGAAACTGGCGACTTTGGTGTAGACCACTGGGGGGTCCCCATACTTGCTTCCAGAGGAGACAATGCCCTGGATCCCATTTCTACACAGGAGAGGCCCCCCGGAGTCCCCCTGTGGACAGAGAGAGGGAAGGACTGAGCCAGTTCTCCTGGCCCTGCCCTCCTTGCCACCCCAAGCCCCTCTCGGAGATGGCTGCCTTGCATGGTGTTCACTTGGGAGATAAGCAGGCAGGCAGGTCCCCAGTGGTCCCCTCAGCCTGGACATTGTCACTGCTTCACTTCACCCCCAGTGGTGGCTCCCTCTGCTCCCCCAGGTCCCTGATCCTCTGGCTATGAAGGTGCTGCAGGACTGTGGCTGCAGCTACTGTGTAAGGACCAGAGAGCAGGCAGGTGCGGCTGACACCATTAACCAGCTCTAAGGAGCCACCAGGTGTAACTTCTGCACACCCAGGGAATAGTGATCTCACTGCATTGCCCCAGCTTGGGCCACAGTGTTACACATCCCCCTCCCCAGGGCAGGGCTACAGACTAGGGATATCCACACCGTGTTTGGAGTGACCAGGGGCCTTGTAGGCTCTTGGAGACTCTATTCCTCCCTGCTCTGGCGGCTCCCCTCTTTTCTTTCTGGGGAGAAAGATTACAACCTAGAGGGTGAAGGATTCCACCCCCTGCCTGGGTCCCCAGGTCCTACTTTCTACCCAAACACCCTTCTCCCCAGAACCAAGCCAGGCAGATGTTCAGTATCACCTGAAAGGTTGTCTTATTTTCTCTTGGGTTCCCCACACACAGTTGAATGTTCTTGTTGTAATGGTTAAAGCGCCTTTTACACTTCAAATCCGCCTGCAGGGTCAGCTCTACCTCCTGCAGAGTGTCTGAGCCAGGGCCCCTCTGTGTGACTCGCCCCCAGCCGGCCACAGTGCACTTCTGTCCTGGCCTCAACGTGTTCTTGCTCCTGGGCAGTGGGAGGGGCTTCACAGCATCAGTTTGCTTGATGTTTCTCTCCAGCTGGTGGGGAAGAGGCAGGGGAGCCCAGGTCAGCCAGTGGTCTCTGAGCCTGGACACTGAGGGACACTTGAGTCACTAGGACTGGTCAGGTGGCCAGCATGGGAGGAAAGGACGGGATGGTTCACAGTGAGAGGAGATACAATGAGATCCCAAACTGCAAGAGCAGTAGGAGGTTTCCTCACCTGCAGTAACATGATGTCATAGGTGCCTTTCCTCTTAATAAACTTTGGGTGCGGGATGGCTCTTTTCACCAGGACGACCTGTTGGGTCTTCTCCTGCTTTCTGATGTTGTGGGCCCCCAGGGTGACACTGATTGACCTGCACAGAGAACAGAGTGGATGAGTGTGTGTGGGGTGGGGTAGGTAGAGTCACAGGAGATACGTCCCAGGAGCCATGAAGGGCTAGTGACAGCTGGAGCAGATCAGGGCTACAGACTAGGGATATCCAGGTCACAGGGTCCAGGGCCTGAGTGACTCTGGTTCCCACTGACATGGAGTGTAGGGCTTGTGGGAGCTCTCGCTTGCCTTTAGGAAATATCATGAAATTGCTTGCATTTCCATTTTGACTGTAATGCATGTGTTCATGGTCCACCGCTGCTTTATTTGGCCATTGTGGTACTTCTCTTCTCCACGGTGTTACTCGCTGTCACTTCTGACTCTCAGGGCCCAAAGCTTACCTGTCCTATTTCCCAGCCTCTCATTGCTCCGTCATGATCTCAGAGGCCTCTCTGATGAGGTCTCACGGGCTTGAGTTACCAGGAGCCTGGGGAGCTGCCCTGGGCTGCAGCTCCTGGGATGGAGGACAGGGTCCCTGTAGGGGTCTCAGGAGGTGTAGCCTGGCTGCAGCCTCTCACCTTCCATTGCAGTGAGCAGCTGTCAGAACATATTTCTTTTGCACAAGGACACCGCCACACATGGACTCCTCCTCCTCCTCATCAATGTGAAGGTAGGCCATGTAGGGTCTGGAGTGGGGCTTGGCTTCATGTCCCCCGATGATCTCTCCTGAAGGAAAATTCTGTTGTGCTTGTGTGCCCCCCCGCTCCCCCACCCCGTGCACCAGGCAGGCATCAGCTTGATGAGCCTAGGGTGGCATAGATCTGGGAGGGTGTCGGGGGAGTGGGGGACTCAACTTTCTCTTCTGGAAAAGGGAAGAGTAACAGGCTGGGTCTGTGATTTGGCCTGCCACATAGTTGCAGGTGAGAATATAGTCTTAGTGATAGAGAAGATCTGGAGGTTCCTAAAAATTCCTCTCCTGACTTCGCTTGGTGTTGGGTGAACTTCTGAAGCCTCTGAGGTGCTGTGATGTCCAGGCAGTGCACTTTGCAGTGTCCAAGATTTAGGTTTAGGGATCTAGGTGTTGCAGAGCTGTCCCAGGGCCTGACAGGTGGGGAGTTGCCAGTGTTTGTTGACTGCCTGAAATGTTGGCTCCCAATGGGCCTCTGGAGTTGGGTTGGTAAGGCCAGTGCTGTGGGATTCTGGAAAGCAGAGGAGACTGGGGTTGCCAACCTCACTGGCTCATCCTTTAAGGAGAGGACCTGCTAAAGGCCTGGGAAGAAAAGCAGAGCTGGAGAAAGGGACTGAGGGGCCTTGAGATGGAGCAGAGGAAACAGCAGTCTTCTGGGGACAGTGACCCCACCAACTGTGGGGTCTGCTGAGCTCTGGGCTTCTCTCCTAAGCAGACCCTGAGGACAGCACCTGTCTCATCACAGGCATGGAAGCCAGGACTGCTCTGCCCTCTGCAGTTTCCCAGCCTCTGCCATGCACTTCTAGGAAGTTCCACTCTCCACCTGGCACAGGTAGGGCCTGAGGAGGGCATTGTGCCCCTGGCTTTTCTTGAGAATAGGCTTCTGTCCTGTCATTTCTGCCTGTAGCTCATCCAGCATCATGTGTGTGGGTCTGAGATGGGATGGGAGCTGAGGTTCAGAGCATTCCTGGTGGAGAGCTGGATCAGGGATGTGCAGAAGGGCCAGGAGGTCTGTGCCCACTGTGGATGGGTTGGGCCTGTGAGGGTGGGGATGGTCACTCACCTGCCTCTGCCGAGGGGAGCAGGAAAAAGGCCAGCAGGAGCACGAGCAGGGGTGGCTGCATCTTCCCAGGAAGGCTGCTCAGGTCGGAGCTGCTGGTGTTTCTCTGTGCTCTGTTTTCACGCCCAGAAGAGGAAGGAAGTGTGGGTGGGCTCTGTGACCTGAGTCCCACTCTGGTTTTGTAGAGCTTCATCCCAGAAGGCTTTCTATGAAGCATCCCCACCCCCACACCTCCTGCCTGATGATGGTCTCTGTGTGGTTGTGTGAGGAGTATGCAGTGACGACATCAGTACCCACAGCTGTTGACTCAGAGCAGACACCAGAGCAGACTCCAGCCCCAAACAGGAACCCAAGGGTGCAGGTGGGGACTGTAGGATGTGGTATTGGCCAGTGGAGGTACTGGAGCCCAGAAACCTGAGTCCCCAGTGAGAGAACCCCCAGTGCCTCATCTCTATGCTACTAAGTCCAAACATAGTGGAGATGTGTCTCCTGTTTTTAGAGCAGTGATTTTCAACCTTTTTCTTCTCATGGCACATAAACTACTAAAATTCTGTGGCACACTAAAAAAATGTATTTTTTTTAATATCTCCCAAAAAATAGGTATACTTCTGATTTTTATTTTGCAAAAAAAGTAATTAACTACGCTTTTTGTTCCAAAGTGACTTAGAAAAATATCAGGTGCCTGTACTTGTATATATGATTAAACAATCAGACACAACTATATTATGCACCGTGAACAATAAAATGCAATTCTATTATATGACCTATTTATTTATGGTTCCTAAAGGGCATTCACACCATATGACTATTGTTGTGTTGGCTGTTGTCATTTTGTTTTTAAATTTTTTTATTGATTAAGTTATTGCATATGTGTCCTTATCCCCACATTACCCCCCATCCCCCCACTGATGCCCTCACCCCCCTGTTGTCTGTGTCCATTGGTTAGGCCTATATGCTTGCACCCCTTTTCCCCCCACCCTCCCCTACCTTCCCTCTGAGGTTTGACGGTCTGATTGATGTGTCTCTGGATCTGTTTTTGTTCATCAGTTTATGTTGTTCTTTATATTCCACAAATGAGTGAGATCATGTGATATTTATCTTTCTCTGACTGTCTTATTTCCCTTAGCATAAAGCTCTCCAGTTCCACCCATGCTGTTGCAAATGGTAAGAACTCCTTCTTTTTTACCACTGTGTAGTATTCCATTGTGTAGATGTACCACAGTCTTTTAATACACTCATCTGTTTGATGGGCACTTAGGCTGTTTCCAAATCTTAGCTATGGTGAATTGTGCTGCTATGAAATAGGGGTGCATATATCCTGTCTAACTGGTGTTTCTAGTTTCTTGGGATATATTCCTAGAAGTGGGATCACTGGGTCAAATGGGAATTCCATTTTTAGTTTTTTGAGGAAACTCCATACTGTTATTAAACAATGAAGAAATTACCAATGAGATCAAGAAAGAAATCAAAAACTTCCTGGAAACAAATGAAAATGAGCACACAAAACCCCAAATCTCTGGGACACAGCCAAAGCAGTCCTGAGAGGGAAGTTTATAGCATTACAGGCCTACCTCAACACACACACACACACACACGGAAAATTAATAATAAATGAAATATTTATTCATACAACCTAAAGAATTAGAAAGAGAACAACAATCAAAGCCTAAAGTAACTAATAGGAAAGAAATAATAAAGTTTACAGCAGAAATAAATGACAGAGAGACTAAAAAGACAATGCAAGAGATCAAAGAAACTAAGTCCTGGTTCTTTGAAAAAATAAACAAGATTGATGAACCTTTAATAAGACTCATCAAGAAACAAAGAGAGAGAACCAAAATAAATAAAATCAGAAATGAAAGAGGTGAAGTAAAACTGACACCACGGAAATACAAAGGATTGTAAGCAAATGCTGTGAACAACTATATGCCAACAAGCTGGACAATGTGGATGAAATGGAAAAATTCCTAGAAAAATACAATCTTTCCAAACTGAATCAGGAAGAATCAGAAGATCAAAATAGGCTAATAACAACTGATAAAGTTGAAGTAGTAATAACAAATACTTCCAGCAAACAAAAGCCCTATCTGGACAGCTTTACCAGGGAGTTTGACCAAACATTACAAGAAGAAATAACACCTATACTCCTCAAACTATTCCAAAAAACACAAGAGAAGGAACATTTCCAAGCTCTTTTTACGAAGCCAGCATTATCCTAATTCCAAAACCAGATAAAGATACTACACTAAAAAGAGAATTACAGCCTAATAACCCTGATAAGCATAAATGCTAAAATCCTCAGCAAAATATTAGAAAAAGGGACCCAGCATTTTTTTAAAAAGTTCATACACCATGACCAAGTAGGATTTATATCACTGATGGAAGGCTGGTAAAATTCGCAAATCAATAAATGTGATACATCACATAAATAAATTGAAAGACAAAAATCACATGATCATATCAATAGATGCAGAAAAAGCATTCTACATCCAACACCCATTACTTTTTCTTTCTTTTTTTTAAAAAAAAATATATTTTATTGATTTTTTTTTTACAGAGAGGAAGGGAGAGGGATAGAGAGTTAGAAACATTGATGAGAGAGAAAAATTGATCAGCTGCTTCCTGTACACTCCCTACTGGGTATGTGGCCACAACCAAGGTACATGCCCTTGACTGGAATCGAACCTGGGACCTTTGAGACTACAGGCCAACGCTCTATCTACTTAGCCAAACCAGTTAGGGCTCCAACACTCATTTCTTATAAAAACTCTCAGTAAAGTGGGAATAGAGGGCATACCTCAACATAATAAAATCCATATATGACAAACCTACAGCGAACATCATACTCAATGGACGAAAACTAAAACATTTCCCCTAAGAAGAGGAAAAAGACAGGGATGTTCCCTTTGACCAATCTTATTCAACAAAGTACTGGGAGTCCTAACCAGAATGATTAGACAAGAAGAAAAAACAAAAGGTATCCGAATTGGAAAGAAGGAAGTACAACTCATTATTTGCAGATGATCTGATATTGAACATAAAAACTCTAGAGACCCCACAAAAACTACCAGATTTAAAAAAACACATTTGGCAATGTAGCAGGATACAAAATTAACACTCAGAAATCTATGGTATTGTTATACATCAACAATGAATTTTCAGAAAGAGAAACTAAAGTAACAATCCCATTTACCATTGCAAAAAAAAAAAAGTTAGATACTCAGAAATATGTTAACCAAGGAGGTAAAAGATTTGTACTCAGAAAAGTATGGGACACTGAAAAAAGAGAAAGAAGAAGATATAAACAATTGGAAGAACATACTGTGTTCATGTATTGGTGGAATTAACATCAATATAATGTCCATACCACCCCCCACAATCTATAGATTCAGTGAAATCCCTATTAAAATACCAATGGCATATTTCACAGACCTAGAATAAATACTCCTAAAATTTATGTGGAACCAAAAAAGACCCCAAATAGCTGCAGCAATTTTGAGAAAGAACAAAGCTGGAGGGATCAAAATACCAGACATCAAGTCATCAAGTTAAGCCACTGTATTCAAAAACAGTGGCGGTTTTGAATACAGTGGCTTTGACTGGCAAAAGAACAGGCATATAGGCATATA